CTCACCGTGTTCCGGCCACACTGGGTTTGCCCCGCTCACGGGTGTCTGTGCTTTCGCCGTCTACACTGCTCAGGCTCCCGGCTGCTCTATATGGAGCGGGCCCTGCGTTGAGTGCGGTTCCAGTTTTCGGGTACTCCACAAAAGCGCGGATTCGGTTGCGCCTGCGTTTTGTGCCTTCCCCGGCCTGAGTGGTTCAGGCAGCCAGGGGCTTGGGCGCCCTCTCCCCGGGTGCGGCCCGCCTTTTCCCTCCATGGCGAGCGGCTCAGGCAGCCAGGGGCTTGGGTGCACTCTCCCCGGGTGCGTCGCGCCTTTTCCCTCCGCGTCGAGCGGCTCAGGCAGCCAGAGGCTTGGGCGCAATCTCCCCGGGTATGGCGTGCTTTCTCCCTCTGCGGCCCCAGCGCGCGCCGCCAGTCGGGTCTCAGGAAGTCTTTAGGTAGGAACCGGCGGCCTGTTTGCAGTGTGGGAGGGGGTGGCTTCTCAGGGGCTGAGTTTACCCTTTTCCCCTCCCCCCTGCCTCCTACCTCCAGCGGGGATGGGCCGGCTCTTCTCTGGAGTTTCTCAGTCCCTTTGTTTTGCGAACCGCCGGCAGTGTGTTCGGCCGGTTAATTTTGACCCTTGCTATCCCCCAGTTTAAAAAAGCTCCCTCTGATTGCTCTCAGGGTCTTTGGGCCGGTCCTTACCCTAAGCAATGCCGCCCGCTCCTCTCCGTTCCGCACCCGCTTGTTGCTGGCGGGTGTGGGCGTCTGGGGTACTTTTCTGCTGGGAGTTGCTTTTAGGCACGTAATCTGTGGGCCTTATTTAATTTTTCCTCCCAGTTAGATTGCTGAAAACTTCCCCCAGTCCCGCCAGTGAGAGGGTGTCCTGGTGATTGGAAACTTCCTCTATTAAGACTCCCTTCCCGAGACGGATCTCCGTCCCTAGCTCTTTTGACTCCCTTTTTATCTTTTATATTTTGTCCTACCTCCCTTCGAAGACAATGGGCTGCTTTTCTGGGCGCCTGATGTCCTCTGCTAGCGATCAGAAGTTGTTTTGTGAAATTTGCTCCGCGTTCAAATGTTCTTTCGATGAATTTGTAGGGGAGAAAGTGGTCTCCCCGTCCTGTTCCTCCGCCGTCTTGGCTCCTCCCCCGAAAAATAGGTTTTCACTGTTGACCGGTGAGCGGTGCGGCTGCGGCTGTAAAATGGGCGCATCTGGGACACGGCCACCCCCGGCTCAGAGCGAGCCTGAGCCCCGTGGGATGTTTTCAGGTCCCCTCCCCCACCGGCCCCAGCAGTGAGGGTCCTCGGAGAAGCTTCCAGTTCGGCCTCTAGTGTTGAGAGCAGGGAGGAGGGGGAGGTCCAGTGTGTAAACATGAGGCTGCGTATGTGTCTGGGTGACGGGCGAGTGCCTCCCGTGGGCTGTGTGTTCGCTCAGGGCCTCCTGCGGCCTCAGGCTGGGACTTCTGCCTGTGCCACCTGACTGGTCAGTGACCTTTGAGGAAGGACAGCAGACACACGGCCTCCAAGTGAGAGCCGGGCTCAGAGCCCCCCAGAATGGGGCCCCCTGGTGCCCGCCGGATCAAGCCGTCCTTCTTTGAGGAGGAAATGGAAACTGATGACATAGAAGTACCTGTGGGGGGTTTCAGCCCCTCTCCCCTGGAGGCGGGCATAACTGCCTGCCCCAGTATTCATGCCTGGAGAATCCCGTGGACTGGGGGGGGGGGCTACCGTACGTAGGGTCGCACAGAGTCGGACACAACTGAAGCGACTCCGCACACACACTCCTCGAGGAGAAAGGCACGAACACATACAAGGGAACGCACACTTCTTACATCTATAATCTATCGGGCTCCGGCCAAGGCTCCAGGGCTTGGCGCCCCTTCCTGAGGCTAAGGACTGAGCTGGAGCCCTAAGCCCCTTGTCTCAGACCCCACTCACTGGTGGAAAGGATGATCACCAGCAGGAGCCGAGGTCCAAAGGGTGTCGTCCTTTACCCCAGCTCACCCGAAACCAAAATAACCCAAGGACGTTCGAGCCCTCTCTCTAGCTGAGGCCTTTGTGCTTGCTTCAGTCCTGGCCCCAGCCCCCCATGGCGTCTCTGCAGGGGGCTTGATGGTGGCACCTTTCACGGGTGTCCGGGGGCTTTGGCACCCATCTCCAAGCTGGCACAGACCCCCCTGGAGATCATAGTGATACACCTGAACCTGACGCCTGCACCTCCATCTCAGGTTGCTCACTGGCGCTTTCTCACGTGGTGTAGACTTCTGCACCTCTGGCTGCCCTGGGGAGCCCTGCCCAGTCTCTCTGGAGGGAGAACTGGAGCCCCGAAGGACACACACTGACTCACTCGAGGAGAAACATTTAGTTCCTTGTGACGCTCTTGCGGTGCGCCCGCAAGCAGGGTCAGCTGGGGTCAGCTCTACCCCAGCTTAAAAATCTCTTCCCGCCTTTAGCCTTCTTTGAGGTGGGACCAGCGTCCTGCGTCCCCGTCATTAGCATGTTAACTGGAGGGGCCGGGCTGGGTCCCGGGTTTCAGCCCCCTTTGAGAGTACAGCCTGGGATTTTCCTGGGCTCTGCCCCTGTTTGCACAGGAAGATGTTAAAGGATGCTTGACTCATTTTCTGCCTGCAACATGCCTAAGTGCACTCCGATTGCCAAGGAGGCAATTGTGGTCTGGCCTTGGGGGAGACACCCTGACCGAGCCCACACAGTCCTGCATGTGGAGCTGGTCAGTGCCAATGTGGGAAAGCTCCTGGCCAGGCTGAGGGAGGGGCTGTGGACTCTGCCCCTGGAATACAGAATCCCGGGTCTCTAATGCCTCTGCCACCGCCCCCCCCCCCATCCCATCCCACCCCCAGGGAGCCAAGGGCATCATCACTCCCTCCAGTCCAACCCAGGCGGTGGGCCAGCATTCCTGAGTCGCCAAGCATGTGCTTTTCAAGCCGTGAGAATGATTTCTGTTTGTGATGCCTGTTTGCTGAAAGATTAATAAATCATTTCTGTGCCCTTAGCAAACTTCCTGTGTTGCTCTTAAAAAGGGATCATCCACCTTCCCGGACCACAAGGTTAAGGTAACCCCGCTAGGGAACCCCGATAGGCCTGCTGCGGGGCAGAGCGACAGAGAGAGAGAGAGTGAGGGCGAGGGTGAGGTAAGCAACCCCCCCCCCGGGAGCCCTGGGGTTCCCCGGCTCGCAGGTCCTCGCCCGCACGCGCAGGCACCTTTGGGAGAAAACAAATCCTCGCCTTTCCTGTTACCTACTGTGGCTTTCGAGGTCTTAAATTCAAGGACCCCCAGAATCACGCTTCCTCCCGATCCGCAGGGCCTCTTGGGAGCTGCCCTCCCCTCCCCCAGCAGTGATGGGTGCTTGCTGGCCAGGGTGCCTTGGTTCTGGCTGGAGGTGGCTGGAGCTGGTGATGGGGCACATCCTGGCTGGGGGCGGGGGGGTGGTGGTGCTCGGGCATCTCAGCTGTCTTCCCTGGGTGCCCTGGCTGGACCCACCCCTGACCTTTGCAGACATCCGTGGAGGACGGCCACGCCAGCATTAGTGATAGCTGCTGTGGCTGAGGCACTGAGGCCACGTGAAGTGGGGCCGTGAGGAGACCCCTGGAAGCGGTGCTGGTGGATGATGCCAGGACCTGGCAGAAGGGGGACTCCTTGGCAGCGCAGTGTCAGATGGAGAAGCCTGCTAGCGCCTGCGGAGAGCCCCGGGTCAGGGGCTACCCAGCCCCCTGCAGCTTAGTCGGCGGTGGCCCCGTGTGTGTGCCGGGTGGGCTGGCCCACCGAGCCACCCCGGCACCAGGCATCCCCTGGAGCACACGCACCCGGGCCTGGCCCTGGGCCTTGTCTGACCGACCTGCTGCTTCTGCGGGCCGCTGGGCATTTCTTCTCGGCTCGGGGCTCGCTCTGCCAAAACCCACGTCCCTCTGCTGGCCGGGCGTTGGGCGGAGTGGCTGGGAGGGGTCACCGCTCTCCTGTCCTCTGCAGGGCCCGCTGCTGCGGTGGCTCAAGGTCAACTTCAGCGAAGCCTTTATTGCCTGGATCCACATCAAGGCGCTGAGAGTGTTCGTGGAGTCTGTGCTCAGGTGTGTGGACGTGATGCTCTGGGGCCACCTGGCCTCTGCCACCCTCCTTCTAACTACGACCCCCCGACCCTGCCAGCTTCTGGGACATGCCCTGGCCCTCCTACCCTCTTCTTCTGCAATTCTTGGCTCTTGGCAACAGGCTTAGGGATTCCTGACTCGAACAAACCGTCCCTCAGTCCGGAGGCCCCTGCTCTCCGGTGCTCTGTGTCTTTCCTGCCAGGCTGGCATCTTGCTCCCCCCACCCACTCTCTGCCACCCTCCAGGGCCCAGTAGCTCCTGCAAGAAACACCAGCACTGTTTCCATCCTTGACTTTTGAGGCCTAGTCCTGAAAGCAGCACAAAATATAAAACCCAGACGAACCAACAACAACAAAACTTACTTTACCTCCTTTTTAACAAACGCAAAATAGGCTCACTGTTTTGTGGAAAACTTGGCAATTACCGGTAAGCACAAAGAATGAAGAAAAATCACCTGTAACTTTAACACCAAGAGGAAACACTGCTAACTCGCTGGTGTTTCTAGCATCCTTCAGGCTTTTTGAGATTGTTTTTTTAAATTTGCAGATATGCATGATTTTGATAAAATGTTTACAAAAATGGAGTCAAGCAGGAAATTGAAGCCCATTTGAACATCTCCTGTGTCTTGAACTATTGCGGGGGGGGTCTTGGCAGCACTGCATGTAGCTGACTGCACCCCCATTCCCAAAGCTCGGCCTGCTCTGGCCTGCAGGTCCAGTGGCCCCTTGGCCCCTCTGGGGTGGTCTTGCTGGGCCCCTTCCCTGCCTACACCGAAGGCATCCTCAGGACCCCATCCCACACCTGCCTGGTGGAGTGCCCTGCTCTCTGTTCCTTGCTCAGGCTTCATAGGTGCCCCCTGCTATTCATTTCCCCAGAGGCTTCCCCTGGACTTCTGGCTCATCTTCCCTCCCAGTCCTTTCCTCCTCATCCTCGTATCTGCCAGTGGCCTCAGGTTCCTCCCCAAACTTCAAGGCCCCCGTGGATGCCTCCCTCCCCTCATTACATCCTTCCCCTCCCTCCACATCACGGCACCCCTGACAAGCCTCCATCCTGCCTTGACCCTCGCTCGCTCTCTCTTTCACCATCTCCTTCCCAGCTGTCACCAAAGGCTCTTTCTTGGTCCTCTGCCTCCAGCTCATCCTTCATGTGGCTGCCAATGTGGTTTTGTCCGAACACAAGCTAGGTCTGACGTGGCTCCTCGTCTTCTCTCAGATATCTCGGACCTCTGTCACAGCAAGCATTGTGACAAGGGGCTGAAGGGCAGACTCAAGATAACCCAGAGTGTTCCAGCCATCAACAGGCCCCAGTCTGTCCCTGCTCACCTTGAAAATCATTGGTCCTCAGGCTCAGCACAGCAAAGCCTGCCATCCTTACTGGAGGCCCATTTTGCTCAAGAGCGAGGTCCAGATGGTCCACAGAGGTCCCGCATATCATGTTTAAGCTCAATAAAATGGAGTATATGCAAAAACAATTCTATTCAAAACTATCAATGTATGGCATTTTAAAAACTTATACTTTTATTTCTCCTGAATAGTTGCAACACATCACTGCTGTTAAAAAAAAAAATTCAAGTTCAGAAATAGGTACTGTAGAAAGTAATTTCCTGTCAGTTCCACCAGCCATGGATTATCCCAGTTAATGGTTTTAAGACTCTTCTTTCCCAAGTTGGTTTATTTATACTTGATGTTCTGCAACTTGTTTTTTTCATCTGCTTATAGTCTCATCACTATGCATAGAGATACTCAATCTTTTTTCATGATTTTTTCATATTCCATCTTATGGAGCAAGCATAAGCTAAGAAAACAGATGTTAGAGCAACTTGATTAGAGCAGATGGCTACAGTTCACCTGTTATCTTGTTCCTCTGACCCCGCATTGGCGTTTGCCTTCAGTTGGCCCTTGCTGCTCTGTCTTTCCTCAGAGTTGGTTCTGTCCTTTTTCCCTACACTGGGAGCTGGAGGGGAGGGCCGGGGTGACTTGCCTCTCTGCCTGTCACCCACCCCGGAGTCAGACAGAGAGTAGGCACTCTATGTTTGTGGGCTAAATCTCATCAAAGAGAAGTGGACCAGCCCTCAGTGGAGGAAGTGCTGGTTCATTGGCAGGCACTTAAATCACTCAAGATGAAAATGGAAACGGGCCCTGGGTGAGTGGTGGGACCATGATGAGATTGGAGAAGCCAGCAAGGTAGCTGGGTAATTAATTAGTCTGGATCTTGGGAGAGGACTTGGTGAATGGATGTTAGGGAATCACCAATAACGGTTGATGTGTTTGGATGAGCTCACCTATGGAGGGTCATTTAGAGGGTACACCAAAGGGGAGCCCAGCCTCTAAGGAGTTGGGGCAGAGAAAGCCCATGGGAATGTCAGAGGCCAGAGGAAGGAGAGATGGGTGAGTCAGGAAGCAGACAGTTAACGCTTGACGTGTTTCTGGAATGGGACCACTGGACGTGAGCAACTAGTGACTGAAGGATGCTCCAGTGACATAGGACCCTGGATGCTCTCATAGGTGGGATGAGAGCTGGGGAATTTTTAAAAAGGGCATGATGGTGGCATGTGAGCAGGCAGGGGTAGTGACTGAGACCTTCTTAGTACAGAGGGCGCAGGTGGGGGGCCTCGAGAGGACAGAGGCTCCTGTACTAAGTGGTCCAGAAGTGGGTCGCCTGGGGGCAGCTGGAGGAGAAAGGAGTGGGAGAGCTGACTCCCTGTAACTGGAAGGCCTGTTCTGAGCAGAATGGAGGAGGTGTTCGAGCTGACCAGGAAGGACAGCTAGCAGGGAGAGGACTGGAAGGGTCTGGGAAGAAGGCGGAAGCCCTGAAACCAAAAGGGGAGTGGGATGAGAAAGGGGCCCAGAGCATCGAGGCTGGGCGAGGAGCAAGGGGCATTCCTGTGGCCAGTGTCTAGCTAGGGGTGTCTGTTATTCACCAGATGCAGGGGTAGCATGGTGAACAAGGGCAGGTCAGGGGAGCAGAGCTCAGCAGATGACCTCTTGGTTCAGGGGAAGGGCAAGCAGCCTCCCAGAGCAACCTGGCGATGAACGTGGTGGGGTGACCGGTCAGAAGGTGGCAGAGTGATGGTCTGGCTACTGTGTCTGTGAGCTGGAATGCTGTCTCCAGACACACGTTTACCTTGGGCTCTGGTTCAGTGACTGTCGCCCTTTGAGAACTCTAAAGTCTGGTGCTTGGACTTCCTTGTGGTGGGCAGGGACATTGTGCTGGTGAGGTCATGGGTGTGCAATGGGGTCTCCATCCAGGGCACTGGGAGTCGGATGGGACTCAGGAGGGAAGGCAGGGTGAGAGCCACCGCTCATTCAAGCGACAAGAGCTCTCCAGGAAGCACTATCACCTTCTGCTCATTGTCCTCTGGGTAGCCGGAACTTTGATGATAAGAGATGTGAGCAAAGAAGGAATGAGGGTGTCTGCTGGGCCATCCTGTCACCCACCATCTAGCTCAGGGGCTCCTGCCATTCCCTGCCAGCATCAGCGGCCCGTGGCCCTCCTCACCTCTCAGCTCCGGTGGGGCCCCGCTCGCTCAGTGTCCTAAGGCGATGGGGCTAGGTAGGTCTTCTGCTTGGTTACAGTGAGGCAATTACAAATGGCCCTTTCATTTTACTTTTCTGTAGACCCACTAGGAGACCTCAGGACTTAAGTGAATGCTTTGCACCATTAATAGCCAGAAATGAGGACCAGGAAAGTCAGGGCCTAATTTATGGGCCTTGACTGAAATAAAAACAAAGTCATACTAACAGGTTAGGCAGTAAAAGGGCATCTCAAGGCTAGCTTTCACATGCCTGACTCGGGCATGAAGCATGGGTGATTAAATATTGACTATCCAAGCATTTGCTCACTGGTAGTATATATATATATTTTAAAACACTGACCCATTACAAAATGCATGTATACTTATATAGTACTCGGTGTAAACCTTTCTGGCTGCACTGGGTCTTCGCTGCTGTGTGCAGGATTGCTGTAACAGTGGAGAGCAGGGGCTGCTCTAGTTGCAGAGCACGGGGTCTAGACCCACGGGCTTCAGCAGTTGTGGCGCACAGCCCCTTGGCTGCTCTGTGGTATGTGGGATGTTCCTGGACCAGGGATGGAATCCATGTACCCTCCATTGACAGGCGGATTCTTATCCACTGGACCACCAGGGAAGTCCCAATGTAAATACTTTGTTGAGATTAACACAATAGGAAAAGCTGCCAGCAAGTGGTTTTTACATATACTCTGGCATCCAGAGTCCATATAAAATCCTTTCTGTCCACCCAAAACTCGGCAAAAGGAATGAACAATCTTGATAAACCAGATCTGTGTGTGCTGGTCTTTCAGTGGAGAAAAGTAAAGCTGCTAAGCTGCATTTTAGACACAGGCTTTGGAGTTACAATATTTAAGTTGGATGGCCTCCTTTCAACTTGAACCCTTACCACCTGAGTCACACATACCCAAGGGATCCCTTGGCTCTCGAGTCAAAAATGGTCACCATCAGAAGCTGTTGAGCGTGTTCTACAGATTTTTCTGTGCTGAAAGATCTAATAATTGGCCTCACTCCTGACCCTTGACATTCTGCTCAACTGAGTTTTCTTCTCCTAAGCTGTGTTGGCCGGTTTTTCACCCTTACTAGAATTTACTGTCAGGTTCATTTCACCCATACTGTCAGTAACACCCTTACACACTTGGTCTGCCTCAACAGGTATGGACTGCCAGTGAACTTCCAGGCGGTTCTCCTCCAGCCTCATAAGAAGTCATGCACCAAACGTTTACGAGAGGTTCTGAACTCCGTCTTCAGGCATCTGGATGAAGTTGCAGCTGCAAGTATATTGGATGTAGGTATATCATCCAGAGAAAGCTGCCTTTTACAGTAAGGTCAGCCTCTCCACATGGAGCTACTCCCCCAAAACAGTACCTGCCGGAATATTAGAAAAATCTACACTTCACAAATGTGAAAGTTTAACAAGAGATTGTGTGCGTGAGTTTTGGGTGGACTGTGGCAGGCAGAAATTGTGGTCAATGCCTAGAGAGCTTTCCTCACACAGAAACATAAAACGAGATGAGCTTATGCACTAATGTGACATCTTTTGCAGGCATCCGTGGAGATCCCTGGACTCCAACTCAGCAACCAAGACTACTTTCCTTACGTCTACTTCCACATCGACCTTAGTCTTCTTGATTAGAAAGATGAGCTGGTGCCGCTAAACTTGAGTATTCGTGCGAACTACTACAGATTTGTCTTTCCTCTAGCCAGATAACAATTTTAAGTATCCTACAGAATTTAGATTTTTAGAGTAATTGCTCACGAAGATTAGTGACAGTTGTATTTATTTTTTGTAAGTTACAATAAAGAAATGTTCTCAGTCCTTTGAATTGTCTCTTCCCTTATATTCTAACGTAATTTAAAAGTTGAGTTTTCTGAAGGTCTTACATGAATGGGGACTTCCTATCAATTGGTAACCTGCTGCTGTATTTCATGTCTTAACGGGACACGCTGTGAAGGTTTAATAACATATCAAAAACCTTGGGCTAAGTGTATAACCAGCTCTTTTCCCTAGTAGTTGCTAGTGATGGCTCAAAGACAAAAGATTGGGCATGGAGGACAGTTCCCACTTGATGATCCACACTCTTCCTCATCCTTCTATATAAACTCGCTTTACCTTCCACATTTACAACTGGACCCCGGCCTTGGGGGTCACAGGTAAGACCTGTGTGACAGCAGGCATCCAGACGGTGTCACGTGAGCCACAGGTTACAGGGAGGACAAACGTCAAGGTCGTCCCTTCACAATAATAATGTACGGGCTGAATACCGCACTCTGAATTTACCATGTGGACACTGATTTCATACGTTTATTGGCATTGTCCAAAATATTATTTTATTCTTTAATGGAAAAAAAGCTATTAATATTCAAATGAAAATGATCACATTAAAAAACTTGTATGTAAGAAACAGCCTCCAAGAACATCCAAGCAGCAAGTCAGAGGGAGGGAAAAATGCTTCAACAGCCCATCAGTTTTCTTCAAAATATTACTTGACAGGATACAACTCATTTCACTGGCTACGACAATTCATAGAATTTTTCATTGTTTTCTTGAGATGCAGAAGTTCACTGTTGCAGTGTTTTCAAATGACCAGTCAAGGGTTACTTCTCGGTTAAAAAGGCCACTGGTAGGTCCCTTGGACTGGAAAGGACGTTCCTTTACTGCAGGAAAATCTGCTCCCAAGAAAAGAAAGCTGAAGTCTTTGCGGAGCCTCTCACAACTCATCCTTCTCCAGGTCATCCAGCTCCACATCACTCAGGTCAATGTCGTCTTCCACGGGAAGCTGTGGGACAGAAAACCACGGTCAGGCCCTGCAGGGTCTACACAGAGCCATAGGCAGGGCGACCCTGAAGTGTGACGTCTCACGTCACACGGTCAGGCCCTGCAGGGTCTATGCAGAACCACAGGGTCCCTGAAGTCTGAGGTCTCACTTCACAGAGCAGTACACTTCTAGCGGTGCTCTGAGCACAACAGCTTCTGCTCCCCCAGCTCCTGCTTTTAACCCTGCCTATCAATACAGAGCAAAAGCTAACAGTGATTTAACCTGTCCTTTGAGGAGGATGGGCAGAAATGTACTGGAATATATTTAATTTCAAAGCCTGAATTTTGCACTTCTCTCAAAGTTACTGAATTCCAGGTTAAATGTTCACTTGAGGGCCAGGAGGAAAGCACGCTCGGTGAATTTCTCTGACTGTCTTGGTCACAAACATCCAGTGCTGCACCTGATGGCAGGGAGGATGGGATGAAGGACCTACAGGCCCGAGAAACCGACACTTCAGGGCTAGGCTCACATCAAGGTTCAGGTCTGAGGGAGAGGTCTTGGGTCACAAGCAGCAAAGATGGGTCGGGAAAGTCAGAGGCAGGACCGAAGCCGGGGGTCCTGCTCAGGGCTCAGCTGCCCTCAGGACTCACCTCGCCATCCTTGCCATCCCAAGGCTCCCTGGTGCTGATGGCAGGGAAAGCCCCACCGCCTACAGGGGCCGTAGATCCACGCCCAAAAGACAGCTCCCTGAGGGGAAGATGAGAAGATGTGTGTTAACAATGGATGGTTGGCGCCAGTGAAGAAACAACTCTTTGCTCCTGAGAAGTACTTCACGAACTATCTTTTCCATCACGGACAACAAGGTCACTGTATAACAATATAATGGAATTCCTGAGGAAGGTTTTGGCAGCATATAAAGCCAGTTACTACAAGTAATTTGAAAAACAGCGCAAACGTATCTTGCCAAAAAACAAGTAAGTAAAAAACGATCAAAGTAGATCTAGAACATGGGCTAGACCAACAATAATACTTGATTAACAAAATTCCACACTAACTTTAGAGCCCCAGGTTTCTCAATGCGGCCACTCTCCATGTTCTGGGCCAGGGAGTCACTTTCCCACCATTCCCTGAACTGCTGTATGGGCACAACAGAGGGTTTCAGCACAGGCAGGCAGACCCTGCGTGTACCAGATGCACGCAGGCTGGTACACCAGGATGGCTCAATGCCAAGTGCACAGGATGGCAAAGGGGCCTGAGAGGAGAAAAGTGGTAGGATCACTTGCTAAGTGAAACACTTCCATTGCACAGGAAGATGATTCCAAAGCTCTAATTTATGAACATTTATTCTCCGAAATGTGAAATAGAAAATTACTCGACTTATTGCATACTCTGGAGTAATCTAGTTTGGAACTATTACCACAAAAGAACCAAGTAAACTTTTTGACAAAACAAAAACAACTCAAAGAAGGAAGAAGTTACCTGAGAAACTCGTTAATGCCTTGCTCACTGAACGATCCCTTTAGGAGAGCAAATTTCATCTTGCGTGCGTTAATAGCTGCCATAGCAGGGTATCCAAACCCGCCGATCCCCAGCGCATTCTCTAGCTCAGATTGGGCTCCAGCTTCTGTCCACAGCCACCTAGAAAAGCGGATTGATTTTTAGGGTAAAGATCCCTTTTGAATTAATTAGAACCCGATTAGTAGACATTAATTAAAGAACAAAAGATTACACATCAAATCATTTATGGAATGAGATGGGTATAGAACAAAATCAAAAACTAAAGATGAATTTTTTAAATAACATGTTCCAGATGTGCTCCTAAGTAACCTCGCTTCCTTTCCTGTTTCCTACACCCTAGCTCTAAGTGGACTGGTCTACCTACAGGACTGTTTCTCCTCCCAGTCCCCAAAATACTATTCAATAAACCTGATGAGTTTTCTCTGTTACCTGAAATCCTATCAGTATCATTTGGGGTTATTAATGTTCTTCGGGCATGTAACAACATTTTTTTTTTAAAGTTAAAGCTATGTCATAATTCACACATGTAAAAAATGCTCAACCAGACTTCCTGGGTAGCACAGTAGATAAGAATCTGCCTGCAAATGCAGGGGACACAGATTCAATCCTGGTACGGGAAGATACCACATGCCGTGGAGCAACTAAGCCCATTGTCACAACTACTGAGTCTCCAGGCTGCACCCACTGAAACCCACATCCCTAGGGCTCATGCTCCCCAGCAGGAAAGCCACTGCAATGAGAAGGCTGCACACTGTCAGCTCCCTCTACTCATACATGGATGAAGAGCAAGGAACCTGGGCACACGGCCTCCTGCATGCACACGCTAAACTAACAGAGGCAATGCAAGGCCTGTGTGAGACCTGTACCCACAGCGGAGATGGAGTACATAGAGCAGAAAGATTAAACAGTGGAAACAAGAGACAAGCTTTGTTCTGAACACTTGCCAATGTCCGGCCCGTGCTCAGAAGAGGGTAAAGAAACGTGCCTCTATTTCTGTCTTTATCTAGCCTTCAAGGCTGTGCTAGAATTCAGCTCTGTTACTAATGGTTTTTGCTTACTAGCTGAGGACTCCAACCACCATTAGAACATAATTCGTTTAAGAAAAAGTGTACTGTGGTATAAATAAGATACTTGCATTGATTTGTTTCTTCCTAGGTGGTAATTATTTTTATATATTAAAAAAACACAGGAAGATGAGCCCCTCAGGTCAGCAGGAGTCCAATATGCTACCAGGGATGAGTGGAGAAATAGCTCCAGAAGGAATGAAGAGGCTGGGCCAAAGTGGAAACAACGCTCAGTTGTGGATGTGTCTGGTGGTGAAAGTAAAGTCGTAAAGTCTGATGCTATAAAGAACAATATTGCATAGGCACCTGGAGTGTTAGGTCCATGAATCAAGGTAAACTGGATGCGGTCAAGCAGGATATGGCAAGACAGAACATCGACCATCTTAAGAATCAGTGAACTAAAATGGACTGGAATGGGTGAATTTAATTCAGATGACCATTATATCTACTATTATAGGCAAGGATCCCTTAGAAGAAATGGAGTAGCCCTCATAGTCAACAAGAGTTCAAAAAGAAGTACTTGGATGCAATCTCAAAAACAACAGAATGATGTCTGTTCATTTCCAAGGCAAATCTTTCAACATCACAGTAATCCAAGTCTATGCCCTAACCACTAATGCCAAAGAAGCTGAAGTGGACCAGTTCTACAAAGACCTATAAAACCTTCTAGAACTAACACCCAAAAAAGATGTCCTTTTCATCACAGGGGATTGGAATGCAAAAGTAGGAAGTCAAGAGATATCTGGAGTAACAGGCAAGTTTGGCCTTGAAGTACAAACTGAAGCAGGGCAAAGGCTAACAGCTTTCTCAGGAGAACACACTGGTCATGGCAAACACCCCATTCCAACAACACAAGAGACAACTCTACACATGGACATCACCACATAGTCAATACTGAAATCAGACTGATCATCTTCTTTGCAGCTGAAGATGGAGAAACTGTATACAGTCAGCAAAAACAAGACCGGAGGGGACTGGCTCAGATTATGAGCTCCTTATTACAAAATTCAGACTTAAACTGAACTAGGGAAAACCACCAGGCCATTCAGCTATGATCTAAATCAAATCACTTATGATTATACAGTGGCGGTGATGAACAGATTCGAGATTAGATGATGTAGACAGAGTGCCGGAAGAATTGTGGCTGGAGGTACTGTATAATACTGTACAGAAGGCGATGACCAAGACCATCCCTAAGAAAAAGAAATCCAAGAAGGCCAAGTGATTGTCTCAGGAGACTTTACAAATAGCTGAGAAAAGAAGCAAAGCAAAAGACAAGGAAGAAAGGGAAAGACAACCCAACTGAATACAGAGTTCCAGAGACTAGCAAGGGGGAGATAAAAAGCCTTCTTAAGTGAACACTGCAAAGAAATAGAGGAAAACAACAGAATGGGAAAGACTAGAGCTCTCTTGAAGAAAACTGGAGATATGAAGGGAACATTTCATATAAGGATGGGCTCAATAAAGGACAGAAACAGCAAGGACCTAACAGAATGAAGATAATGTGGCAAGAATACATAGAAAAACTATACAAAACCTTAATGACCTGGATAACCACAAGGGTGTGATCACTCATCTAGAGCCAGACATCCTGAAGTCAAGTGGGCCTTAGGAAGCATCACTATGAACAAAGCTAGTGGAGATGATGGAATTCCAGCCAAGCTATTTCAAATCCTAAAAGATGATGCTGTGAAAGTGGTGCACTTAATATGCCAGCAAATTTGGAAAACTCAGCAGTGGCCACAGGACTGGAAAAGGTCAGTTTTCATTCCAAACCCCAAAAAAGGCAATGATATAGAATGTTCAAATCATCATACAACTGTGCTCATTTCACGTGCCAGCAACATCATGTTCAAAATTCTTCAAAGGCAGATTTCGGCAGTACATGAACTGAGAACTTCCAGATGTCAAGATGGATTTAGAAAAAGCAGAAGAACCAGAGATCAAATTGCCAACACCTGCTGGATCATAGAAAAAGCAAGGGACTTCTGGAAAAAAATCTACTTCTGCTTCATTGACTACGTTAAAGCCTTTGTGTGGATCACAACAAATTGTGGAAAATTCTTAAAGAGATGGGAATACCAGATCACCTTACCTGCCTACTGAGAAACTTGTATGCAGGTAAGAAGCAACAGTGAGGACAAGACATGGAACAAAGGACTGGTTCAAAATTAGGAAAGGAGTATGTCAAGGCTATATATTGTCATCCTGCTTCTTTAACTTAAATACAAAATATATCATGTGAAATACTGGCTAGGTGAATCCCAAGATGGAATCAAGAGTGCAAGGAGAAGTATCAACAACATTAGATAGGCAGATATCTAAGATACCACTCTTAATGGCAGAAAGTGAAGAGGAACCAAAGAGCCTCTTGATGACGGTAAAAGAGAAGAGGGAAAATGCTACCTTGAAACTCAATATTCAAAAAACTAAGATCATGGAATCTGGTCCCATCACTTCAAAGTGGAAACAGTGACAGATTTTATCTTCTTGGGCTCCAAAATCACTGTGAAATGTGCCTTCAGGCATGAAATTAAAGGACGCTTGCTCCTTGGAAGGAAAACTATGACAAACTTGACAACATGTTAAAAAAAAGAGATACCACTTCGCTGACAAAGGTCCATATTAGCAAAGCTATGTTTTTTTCCAGTAGTCATGCAGATGTAAGAGCTGGACTAAAAGAAGGCTGAGTGCCAAAGAACTGATGCTTTCAAACTGTGGTGCTTGGACAGCAAGGAGATCAAATCAGCCAATCCTAAAGGAAATCAACCCTGAATACTCACTGGAAGGACTGATGCTGAAGCTGAAGCTCCAATACCCTGGCCACCTAATGTGAAGAGCTGACTCACTAAAAAGAACCTGATGGTGGGAAAGACTGAAAGCAGGAGGAGAAGGGGATGACAGAGGATGAGATGGTTGGATGGCATCACTGACTCGATGGCCATGAGTTTGAGCAAACTCTGGGAGATGGCAGGACATGGAAGGCTGGCGTACTGCAGTCCATGGGATCAGAGTTGGATGCGACTTAGCAACTGACAACAATAACAACAAAAAACACACCAAAGTGAGCAGAGGAACACAGACTATAGGAAACACTGAGGGAAACACTTTCAAACAGCACTACACTCTCCTTTCCAAATGATCCTGAGACAGTTAACTCACCCCCACATTTTCTTCTTGTATTTGTCCGCCAACTTCAGAAGAACTTCCAAGTAAGAATTTCTGCCTGCAGCTCCTGATTTAAACAGACAAAGATTTTACAGGTAAAAAGAAAGGAGTTGGTAAAGTAATTCCATCTATTAAGTGTTCTCAGAGCAGGCAGCACAGAAGTAATGGAGAGCAAGCCCCCATCGGCCATACCCGTGTCAAGAATGTGGGGCAGCACGGCCACGACACAGAGCTGATGCTCCTCACACGTCTTCTTGGCAATGTCCTCGTTGATAATCTGCGGGGCCCAGAACACAAGGGGTGTTGGAAGGCCATGTGACACAGAACCCACAGGTCCGCTTGAACAGAGACTGGGTATCGTCAAGCTTATTTTAGAAGAGCAAAGTAATTCAAGAGCTAGATAAGGCTCTTCCCAAATAATACTTCCTGTATGCGCTATAGAAACATGAACGAGGATTCCGTTTTTATCTCTTAGCCATCTATCTGCGGTGGGGGTGAGCCATTTGTATGCAAAAATGGTCTCTGAAATCAGGATGCCTGGGCACAGCCTTGCTCTGACATTTAGTTGTTTAGACAGGTAAGAAAGACATTAACATGTATTATATATTCTCGTGGATTTGAGGCTTTCTTTGCCTCTTACCATGTGTAAAATGGAGATAGAAACGGTATCCACCTCCAAGTGTTCATACGAGAATTAAATGAGAAAAATCTACATAAAGGAACAGTGCTCAACACATGGCCAGGTGCTCAATAAATGCTAGCTATTATTTTGAGAATGATAAATGAAAGACTGGATTCAATTTTAATGAAGCTAAGGTACCTTTTGCTTGCAGTGCAATTACTTTCGTACTGAAAGTTATGAAAAGCTGCAATTTATAAGACAAGTTTTCCCCATCTGAAAGTACAAAAACACTCTAAAGAGAACAATTTAAAAAAGAGAAAGAGCTAACTGGCAAAGACAGAAAATGTCTTTATTGCTTCAATGTTGTCTTTCATCAGACTGGAAAAGCTCTCCTTACTACAGGTGATGAAGAGGTTTACCTCAAGCAGCTCAGGAGGTGGGGCGTTATCAGAAAACAGATCGAGGGCCCGGGAAACAATGTCGGATCTCGTGCGTCCCCCATCGTAATCCACAGGAGACTCGCCTTTCTGAAATATCTTGATTGTAGGGAATCCCCTAATCTATTAAAAATTAAAATTTTGTTGTTGTTTGTTGCTAAGTCATGTCTGATTCTTTGCAACCCCCATGGACTGTAGCTCGCTGGGCTCCTCTGTGGGATTTCCCAGGCAAAACTAGAGTAGGTTGTCATTTCCTCCTCCAGGAGATCTTCCCAAGCCAGGGATCAAACCCACATCTCCTGCACTGGCAGGTGAATTCTTTATCACTGAGCTACCAGGGAAGCCCCCAAAATAAAATATCAGAGTAGAAATCAAATTAATATTTAATAATAAATAAGATGATCTTTATGGCTAAAACTACTTTATAGGTAATTTAATGTAACAAAAACACTCCCTAGCCTGCATCAGTGTCTAAGGGACAGCATGCAGAGGTTTGTCAGTCAGGGGATAGTAACAGTCTCACTGCCAGGCTTAGCCAAATCTTATTCAAACGCTGGACATACATCAATACAGTAATATATGTGCTCGAGAACAAAGGGACCAACTTCAAAAGCTATATTCAATTTTAATGAAGCTAAGGTACCTTTTGCTTGCAGTGCAATTACTTTTGTACTGAAAGTTATGAAAAGCTGGAATTTATAAGACAAGTTTTCCCCACCTGAAAGGACAAAAGTACTGAGTAACCTGCGAAAGCCTGGGCTCACATTAAGCCCATAGGCAGTGCAATGCTGAAAGCAAAACCAAGAAACCTCAACAGTCTTAAGTCCCATATTTACTAGTTAAGATAGTGAATGAGTTCATTTCTCCATTACAAAACGGCTTAACTCCCCTCCCACCACCTAGGGAGGCCAGGAGTACGCGATGGAGTGACAGTTGAAAGCAGCCTCCCAAGCACACTCACCCCGTATCGGCTGGCGAGAACCTGGTTCACGGTGGCATCCACAGCTGCGAGTTTCACTTTGCCTTTCGTTTGCTCTTTTACCTCTGTAGCGGCCGCGGCCCATTCTGGCTCTAGGCTACAGAAAACACCCTGCACTTTAAAAGGGTATGCCAACTCTAGGCACACATACTTTAACTGCTGCACACATTTCCATCCAGTCCAGTAAAATCACACTTGGGAAACACTCCGTGTGCAGCTTTATGAAAGCTATGACGCCCCACCCTCCCACATTCACTTCCCCATCCTTCATCCATCATGCCCCTCCCAACGCTGGATGCCAGCTCCCTGCTCATCTCTGAAAACATGACAGAAGAAACACTCTGCACAAATGGCTGAGGTTTCACATTCACTTAGAGCCAGAACTTTGGGGGAGAACATATTGGGGATCACCTATGACCTGATTCAGCTCTTCAGAAGTGAGCCAGGTGAACAGACAAAACGCACTGTGACTTTAAAAAGTACCTGGTACAAAGCACTTACTTTTTGCAGTGTCCACACCAGGGAGCATAAAACTCAACCATCCAAACATCTTCACTGTCAAGGACGTTCTTGTCAAAGCTGTCGTCCGTCAGCTCAATCACGTCCTTCTTACTTGAACTGTCACCTCTGCCCTGTCATTTGTGACATTAAACCTTAGGTTACAACTTGGCCAAAAAGAACACTATCACCATTCTAAATATACATATAGCAATAATCAATTCTACATCTTAACAAAGTTTTAAATTCTTTCAAGTGAAAACTATTTTACTCAGATAGGGAACATTCCTTAGTATTATTATTCTTTTTACTTGAAAAACAGTATTTACTTTCAAAGAATTACCAGTACAGTCAGTATCACATGTAACATAAATCTGAACTCTACTTTTGCTACCTTCATTAAGAGAAACTCCAGTGTGGCTCACAGAACCACTTTAGTAATACTTCTTATTCAGAACCATGCTGGTTCATCCTAGATACCTACAGTTCAGATAAAGTCCCTACTACTTGAGAAAGCGAAAAACAACTGTTAACCCTTTTATCTTTTCAAAGCATTTTCTTTAATACTAAACCTGCAAAGCAGTCAGAATTTATATAATGCTTTCTGTTGCCTGGGCCAAAAGCCATCAGTGTTGGAAAGGCAACCTGTGCTCATTAAACGTCTTAAATTTAGATAAAAGGCACGAAATCTCTGATAAGCTAAGTCTGTATAAAGAAGCTACTCTTACTGGTCTCCTAGGAGTGAAGGGCCGTTTTATTGTGTGTGCAGGCAGACCTTGGAGATACTGCTGGTTTGGTTCCAAACTGCAGTAAAGCAAGCATCGCAATAAAGCAACTCATGAATTTCTTGGGCTTCCTGGTGCACATAAAAGTTACGTTCACACTATATTGTAGCCTATAATTTTTGTACTGTGGTCTATTCAGTGTGCAACAGCACTATGTCTAAAAGACAATAAATAACTTAATTCAAAAATGTTAGTGCTAAAAAATGCTAACCCTCATTTGAGTCTCTGGCGAGTCATAATTTCTTTGTAATAGCAGTATCAAAGATCACAGATCATAGATCACCATAATTAAAATAAAAAACTTTTGAAATACTGCAAGAATTACCAAAATGTGACAGGGTGAGCAAACACTATTGAAAAAATGGCACCAACAGACTTACTTGATGCAGGGTTGCCACAAATCTTCACTTTGTAAAAAATACAAAGATTTGAGAAGCGCAATACAATGAGGTGTGCCTGCATGTATCAGGAATTCAATGCCTTTTCACAAAAACCTAAGTACATCATGGTTAAAATCCACATTTCATACAAGGAGATCTAATATATCCATCTATAGAACAGGAATCTTCTTCCCTATCCAACTGTGTGTGTATATGCACACATGCTCAGTTGTGTCTGACTCTTTCTGGCCCCATAGACTGTAGCCCAGCAGGCTTGCTTCTCTGCCCATGGGATTTTTCCAGGCAAGAATACTGGAGTGGGTTGCCATTTCCCACTCCAGGATATCTTCCTGACTTAGGGATTGAACCAACATCTCTTGTGGCTCCTGCACTGGCAGGATTCTTTACCACGAGCACCACCTGGGCTCTCTATCCAATTACGTATGAATAAAAACGTCCAGGGATTTCAGCCTGACTACCACAGACACAGGCCAAGAGGCCATCCATATTTCATCCGTGTTTGCCCTAAGTTGACCTGGACAAGAGCATATATCACTCTCACTACTTTGGAACTACAAACATCATGGAGGCCAGAGTTCAGCTTCCGGGGCCTGAAGCTCTCTCTCTCTTGCTGTCTCCCAAACTCTTCTACTTAGGCCCGGGTCCAAGGAAGCCATTTTGGGGCCTGGTTCTTGGCCTGCGCTCAGCTGTGGCGGATGCCCCAGGATTGACTGGCTAGGAGCAGAGACCTCAGGGGGCCACACGAGCAGCTCTGACTCCCTCTGTAGTCATTTGACTCAACCTCCTCTTATTATTTTTTTTAAAACTCAAAGTCCACCAATTTAAAACACTTTTAAAAATAATTATCTTCTTTGCAGAGTTTCCCTGGTGGCTCAGCTGGTAAAGAATCTGCCTGCAATGTGGGAGACCTGGGTTCGATCCTTGGGTTGGGAAGATCCCCTGGAGAAGGGAACAGCTACCCACTCCAGTATTCTGGCCTGGGGAATTCCATGGACTAGTGCATGGGCTCACAAAGAGTTGGACATGACTGAGAGACTTTCACTTTCATGCCGAGTTTACAATCAGGCTTCAAAATCATGACACACGTTAAAAACTGACATTATACAGAGCCTTACTTGTTTTCCAGAACTGGAGCCACTGCCCCGGCCGCCAAGGCGGTCTTTCACAAGCTGGCGCAGAGCACTGAGGGCAGCGTCCACGATGGCCTCGCCAGTTCTGCCACCTGCAGGGAGACACAGCCATCAGGTGAGCAGCAGTGGGCAGCCTGGGTGTCTCTATTTGATGCTAGCTAAAGACTGCAACAGACCTGTCTGTCAGCTTCATCCGGTGTTCAAACAGACCTAACAACTCGAGTGTCTTTAAGACAGGACCAGTTTCTTCTAGGAAGTATTTCCTGCTTAAACTTTACACTGGGAAAACTAATTCCTTTTCTTCAGTTTTAGGTTATTAGTGTTAACAAGGACATTCTGTTCACCCATAAATACCATCTACTATTGAGAACAGTTCACCACAATGTCTACTGAATGTGTAACATGTACACAGATGAAAAAGGTTATCTAGTTAACAGAGTAGGATAAATTTCTAAACACAAAGTACCAAATGAGGGGAATGGAAAAAACTATTTAAATGAGATTAATGGACAGAAAAGACTGGACAAAGGAGGATATGAGGCATCTGAAGCTAAGAAACTAGAAAGCAACCCACTTCCTTCTACCTTGTTTAAACACAGTTATTCTGGGCTTTGAGGTTCTGTAGTTGAACTTGCTCTTAATTTCAAGCCCTGTATTTAAGACAGTGACAATAGCCTTGGGAAGTTTACCAAGGGCTATGTGCTCAAGAACAAGTCAGGAGACTCCTGATTTACTCAGAAGAAAATGGACAATATATGCCTTGAGATTATGAGTTCAAAGGCAAAACTAATAAAATCTCTTCAGAAAGTTTTTTCTTTCTTCTTTATTAGAGTTTTCTAATCAAACTGCCCAGGAAGAGATAAAAGCTTCCGAGAACACTTCAGACCTGACATTAGAAAGAAAAGGCAGCACAGCAGTACTCAGAGTGTGCTCAGACCATCGTCTGCTACATCCTGGCTGAGATGTAGTGACCAAGCATGTCACTTCCTAGGACAGGTAGGCAGGCAGACCGCAACACAAAAACAGCCTTCTGCTCCTCATCTACTGCAGACACCCCGCTTTCTGAGTCAGTGCCCCTCCCAACAATCTCTACCTGGAAGTGCACCAAATCAGGAAACACACTAGGGAAAAAGAGAGGGTTTTCTCATTCTAGACCAAAGGCGAGCAAATTCTTCCTGCAGAAGATCCAACAGTCATTATTTTTGGCTTTGCAGGCCACACTGCTTGTGGTAACCACTTGACTCTGTTGTCTTTACTGTGGAAGTAGCCATAGACAACACCAGTGAAAAAGCATGCAGTGTTCTGAAAACTTATTTACAAAAATAAGCAGCAGACCAAATGCTAACCCCTGCTCTAAACATTCAATTTTCACAAATTAGCAAAATTAAAAAATTATATTCCAAAGCAGAAAAGCAGGTGTTTACTAAGAAAAATGAAACTTTGTTTTATGGAACTTTAGAACTATCTTCAATATGATACCTATTTCGTGACATCTTAAATAACAGGCAACTCTATAAAAGAACAGCTGACTAAAGTAACATTTAGTCTTGAGAGTCTGGAGCCAGAGTCCTCTCCAGCTGCTTCAGTAACTCACAGCAGATACAACTCCCTCATCTATAAAAAGGAGAACATGCAGGACTTCTTCATTATTACCAGTTTAAAAGACTAAATGATAGCTTTAATAATTCAAATACTATATATGTTTACAAGACTTAAAGATTCATGGGCAAAACACTCCACGGTAATATCAACAGTTCAAACTGACTTTCCAGTTACAGGACTTTCTTTTACCACTCTTATGCTCGAACTCCTAACAGTGAAGGGATGAGCAATTGGAGCAAGAAAACACTTGCAGATCTTTAAAAATACTATATAATTATAGAAACTTATTAAATAGTAATGAGTAAAGTATCTTATAAAAGTATCTTGTTATTTAGTTGCTTTTGTATTTACTCTTTGGGACCCGGTGGACTGTAGTCCATGAGGTTCCTCTGTCCACAGGATTCCCCAGGCAAGAATCCTGGGGTGGGTTGTCATTTCCTTCTCCAGGTAAAATATTGAATAACTGTGTTTTTTTTTTTAAAAAGCTAATGAGAAAAAGGAAAGCACAAAACATCACTACTCTATCATTGCTAAGGCCATGTGGTCTAAGCTAGCATAAACAATAATAATAAAAAAAATCTTTCACCTGTTTGACATGTTTAATCTCTGAACAACTCAGAAGATGTAGGAATCACAGATCAGGAAATTCAGGCACAAGGCAGGTTGAGAAACTTGCAGGCAGCAGGGCCAACAGGTTCCAGAATCCCAGGTTCTCTATCTGGTCCTACCCACTCACATTAGAATTCCAACCAAGGGCATGAAGTAATTAGGAAAAGTTCTTACCCTGATAATCTTCTGGTTTGTTTTTGTTGGATCCAAAAATCTTAATGGTAGGAAATCCCTGAACACCATACTGACCACCCAGGGACTGATGTTTGTCTGCGTCAACTGCACCAACTTTGACAACATCCTGTGGAAACAAAGAAGGAATACCTGTTTTTCTTTCAACCAGAGCAGATTCCACAAGAACCCATCATCTGATGATGCAAACTCAGAGACAAGATAATAAAGGGCAGGGTTCCATTTGCCAACAGAATTGATGACAGCTGTAGCCTGGGAAATCAATCCTAAACTAAGGGCTGGACAAGAGGCAAGTCAGCCTGTGAGGAAACTCAGCAGCTCCCAGAAATAGCCCGACTAAGTACAATTATGCCACTTCACTGGGAAATAGAATTAACAAAAACAGACAAGACAAAAATTAGAATGTACTGTATCCCCTTGTTCCCTACATAATCTTGGAAGCAGAACAAGAGTACTGGGCTTCAACATGCAAACTGACCGCCTATTGTACATTAAGCCCATTTGCTTAAACTTATTTCAACATACACAGGTGAACGTGAACATCCCAGAAACTCACTTTCAAGGCAGTTGCTGCTTTCTTCCATTCTGGTGTTAACCTCTGGCAGTGGCCACACCTTGCAGGGGATGAAAACACAAGGAAACAGTCAGTCTTTGATTCCATTTCGAGGAACACTCCCCAATGGGAGCGCCATGGACTGGGGGTAGGGGCATGCTGGGAGAACAGCACTAAAAAAAGACATGATCAGCGACCAGGAGCTCACTGTTGTGATTTCACTACGATCCTTTTTTTTTTTAATCATAATAAAAACCTTCCAAATTACTGCTGAGTTAAATTGTATTTAAACAGTTTAAACAAATACTATCATTTGTATCTCCATCCCTGAGGGGGAACATCAGTGTTTACCTTGCTGAGTGTGCCTCAAGTGTGGTCTGAGTTCCATGCTAAGCAAAATGCAGATTCTGAGGCCCCCAAGGAATCAGTTCCTAGAGAAGGGGTTCAGGAACCTGTCTTTAATAAGTCCCACTAGTGATTCTTCAATCTGTTAAGGTTTGATAGCCCCGATATAGTCCAGAACTTTCATTTTATAGATGAGATGACTGTTTTAGAGCCTGGATCTGTGGGGCCTGCGTCTTAATGTTCTGTAGCTCCCATGGCAGCTTGTGGAGTTAAAATGCACATGGAATCTCAAGTAAGGCTAAGGAGTGAAAAGCTCTGATACCACAAGGTGGTGATAAAAGAACTAGGGGAGTGAGACAGAGACACACAATACAAGGGAAACTATTCTTCATCTTTTAGGTATTAGTCCTTGGAAAAAAATTACTGTGAAATGTAGCACACAGACAAGTGCTTTAAAAAAATTATATATACAGAAACCTACTATGTATGTATCAGTCATCCAGGTTATAGGCAGCTGCATTATTTTCATCACTGTATAATAATACCCATGTATGAAGACAGCATAGCTAGTTTAACTACAGGTGACTTTTTCCTTTTTTAAACGAAGTCAATTTTCTTCTAATTAGGTCTCTAAGCACCTAATGAGCCAATGCCACGTGCCAGCACCATGAAGCGCATTCTTCACACAGGATTTCATTTCATCAGCACAGCCAGCCTGCAGGCAGGCTTTGTGGTCATTTTCATTCTACAGATGATGAAACAGAGCCTGAGAAGGTAAGAAACCCTTCCAGCGTCACCCAGGGACGGAGCTGCCCAACAGGTCTTCCTGACTCCAGATCCCACGCTCTTAGTCAGTATGTAACATCACCTTCCATGGGGGCCTAAGCATAATCCAATAGTTTAGAAGTCAAGATCTTTCAGCAAAGTGCCCTGAAATGCTGATTCTACCCATGGTATATTTTGCTATTCAGGTAAGCTACTTTGAAATCTAGGGGTCAAAATTTTATAGGACTTTGTGCCTCTTTAATTTCAATTTATTCTAATGAAGGAAGAACTTAAATCAGAGATTGTCAGAGTACATACACCCTGTAATTTCAATGTTAAGCAATGTAAAGACAGATCAAAATGCCTCAAATATAAATATAGCAGCACACCTATAACTCAGGGGTTTTTCACTGGGGTCCACGGACCCCCAAAGGGCTAGTGGACAAAAACTTAAGGGCTCTGTAAGCTTTGATGGGGGGAAAATCCTCTATTTTCATTAACCTATAATTAATTTAGGATTTCTTTCAATAATAAACAGTAATAACATATCATAGTGGGTTAGTACTTGTGACTCTGTCAAAAATAAAAATCACAGCTATTTTCTCTCCAGCACTATAGCTGGTGCAAGTATCTTTCAACATCATTTACGTTTATCACTATTTCAGAATTATGGTAGCTAGCTGTTAAAATCTGCTGCTGGACCTTGGTATTTATAGTCCCTGTAAATGAGGACTACAAAACCATATCAAGATTTACTTTGATAGTTTAATAGTTTAATAATCTTTTTCCATTATTTCAGGTTTCCTTTGTGATCCCATAGCTTTTATTCTATGCATGTAAAACCTTTATTCTAAGGAGGAACTCATAGTCTTCGCCAAGCTGCCAAAGTTCAAACACACCGAGAGGTTAAAAGCACACTCTCTAATGAGACATTCTCTCATCCAGGACACTATGAAGCACAATTTTGCCAGTTAACAATAATAATTAACTACTTGATCCAGAATCTTCTCAAGCATGCTGACTGGTTTTGTTTTGAAATGAGGTATATTTTCATATACTGCAGCTCCCCCAAAACAAGGTAAATTACTAATGCCATAAATGACAAAAAATATCAAACTTGTAAAAGCTGCATACAAAGGCATTCAACAATATTAAGCCTGTACAACTGCCATTTGTACCTTTATTAAAATGAATGAACGAACCTATAAAGAATTCTTATTTGGATAACAAAGAAAAAAACAAAAGGAATTGAAAAAAAAGGCATTAAGATGAACAGTATTTTCATAATGTGGTAACAAACTTTTAAAGTAAAGGATTTTACCATGATTTACTACACTGAACTGGTACTCCGTTTCTAAAACTGTTTTCTTTTTCCAAAGAAAACACTGAAAAGCAATAAAGGAAAACCTTTCATCAGGCATTCCCTAAAAAGTGCCTGCTCAAGGACAGTCTGTAAGAGTTCCACTCACTACCCGCCCTGCCTCTCAGAGGACCACTCTGGACCTCAAGTCAGCACACAGCTCACCTGCAGATACTGCTGGTGGTGCTCCATCTCCTCTCAGACACTTGGCACCTGCAGTTTGCAGCAGTGACAGTCTCATGCCTATTCGGCACCGATTGCATTGATCTCTTTCTACGTGTCTATTTGTTGGGGCTTTGGTTTTGTTTTCATTAAGTATTTTAACAATATAAATGATCAGTGCAATACTGTGTAGATGACCCTTGAATATTGAGTTACAGATGCTGCTGACCCACTTGCCGCAGTCAAAAATCCACATATAACTTTATAGTCAGCCCCCTGTATCCACAGATTCAACCACAGTGAATTGTGAATTAACTGAATTAACAGTGAATTAACTGACTTGCGCAGTTGTAACCTGTGTTGCTCAAGGGTCAACTGTGTGAAGCCGTGCACTATTCATTTCAAAGGGAACTACATCTTCACTGCAGGAGGTTTCTTTTCTCCCCCCAGAAGTGTGTCTTCCCAAAATTCCTTCTTTCCTGTAACTATTAGCTACTTCCAGCATTTTTTTTGTAACTGACTCAAACTCTGCACCCTTTAATAGTCAATCAACCCTTTCCCTCTTATGCCTGTTACTTTTTACCATTATGAGATTAGATTTCTTTTCATTAGCATTACCTGGATGTGTCCTCTACCTCTTTTAAACAATCAGTAAATTAGGTAAACAAGATGGCTAAATAAAATCACATTTTTATTATACATAATATAGTATTTTCCCTTATTTTATAAAGTACCATAAATAACCGACAACTATTTTATAATTACTTACCATGGAGCATAGAATTCTACAAGCCACAAACTGTCACTCTGAATAACTTCTCGGTTGAAGTTTGAGGGGGTTAATTCAATTACATCATCACTAGACGAATACAGACCATTAACTGTTATAAACAGGGTACAGCTCATCAGACCTGGAATGACAAGAAACATACCATCAACAGCAGGATTCACGCTCTGACTGGAAAAGTCCTTTTCAACTGACCAAGGCCGTTCACAGAGCAGAGCCTGGGTCAGCTCTCTCCTAGCCCCCTCCCTCCACTCCCCCACTTTCAGCCTGGCTACTGTTGGAGCCCCTGGGATTTTACTCTCTCTGGGACAGTGCTGAACAAGAAGGGAGCAGACGGCCCACACCCTCATCTCTTGAGCTGTGTTGGGAACAGATTTAAATACTATTCTTAGTGCTTTCCCTATGCTAACACCTTCATTCTGTACCACCACACTCTATGAGGCAGGATTATTACTGCCACCTTCTGGGCAAGGGTGCTGAAAAACTGGGACGTTCCATTCAACTCTGAAACCCTGGATAATCCTTCCACTATCTCTTGCATTATTCAGATGCATTATTAGCATGCTATCTTTATTAAAGCTTTCTGATGGGAAAAATAATTATTTGACTCTTTGACTAGACTGTGACTCTCTTAAGGACAATGATTTTTTAAGTATCTTTCTTGCTACTAACATCATCCATGGCACATCATCAGGCACTCAAAGCGCTGCTGGGTGAGCTCTGAATGTTCACGTGAACAACTGACTAAGGGAGGGCAGACAGTCTACTGCATTATTAACAGTTTAGCCACCTTGCGGACCAAATTTCTTTATCTGGCTACTCATATGCCACCTACGTCACAATTTCATATGCTTACTTTGTAGACAGGATTTAGATTTCATGTGGAACTTTTTAAATAACCCAATGGTAAACTTCTTCGAGAAGGAGTGTATACTGATGTCAATTGTTCTATTGCTCAATCCTCCACCTTACACCTGCTAAGGCATTCTGAACTTTCAAATCACTTTCAAATACATTGGATCCACTTGATTTTTCACAGCACTACTAACTAGAACGTGGGAATCATCCTAATTTTGGAAATAAGGGCAGATAGAGATCAAATGGCCCATCTACAGTCACACCTAAAACTGGTGGAGCATCTCTGACTCCTATTTCCAAGCTCTATCAATTAAACCATGTTGTCTTTTCAGTACTCAAGATAAAAAGGTTCAGTACGCCATGGGCATGAATAACAATTACACTGTTTGAGAACACTGCATCTGAATTACATATATGACTAGCATGGTGAGAACTTCACCGTGAACTCTACCACACTGTAGGAACTTCACTGTGAACTCTAACAGTGATGTGATGCCACTAAAGGTTATCATGCAATGGGTATGATCAGACTTGCTTTCTAGAGTCTTCTGGCTGCAATGTGAACAGGGGATGGAGAATTATCAGGAGAGTGGTTTCACATAAACCGAGGGCAAGATGAAATGAACTACAGTAACAAAGGCTACCAGGAGGTCAAGCAGCCAAGACTGAAAACTGCCTACTGGATATATATTGAGAGGTCCCCGGGGCCCCGGGCGGTCGTGGTAGAGAAGTGAAAGTAAGCAGCAGTCAGGCTGCACAAGGTTGGAAACAGCAGGAGGGAACAAGCTGGTGAAAATAATACAGTATCTCTTTAAATAGGTTTCTTATAAAGAGCAGGAGACACCAAGTCAGTGTGGGATAAAAGGAAGGTTTCAAGGATGGGAATGATTTGAGCATGAAGGGAAGAAATATGTGGAGCAGCAGAGGCTACTACAGGGAATAATGGAACAAAATGCCTGAATTACAGGGAGGGGAGTAAAGTCAGAGAGAGGGGTATCTTGCCACAGGATGAACTCCTTCCATTTCAAGAGGTGGGGAACCATGAGTGTGGACGGAGGTGAAGCCAACCAAAGACAAGCTCCCTTTATAACTGCAGGCCAACACAGCAGCCACTAGCCACACGGGGCTACCCGAAAGGGAGGCATGCTGGAGGTGTAAAAAGCATACTGAATTACAAAGACTTGATAGAGGAAAAGAGCAAATTATCTCGTTAGTATTTCTGATACTGATTTCCTCGAGATAATTTAGATATACTGGATAAATAAATATATATTAAAATTAATCTCACCTACTTCTTTTTGTCTTTTAAATGTGGCTACCAGAAAATTTTAAGTTACCACATAAATTAAGCATTGTATTTCTACTGGGTGGTGCTGCTTAATAATCTTTGCTGCAGAAAAGATTAGAGTTGGACACATTCACTAAAGCAAGTAAATCAAGAACCTAAGTAGAGACCATACTAATTGTCAGTAAGCTTGCGAATAAAACTGGTCTTAGAAAATATTCTATGGATTTTTAAAATATATTTATCTTCTTTAAAGAAAAAAAACTGTATGAATTGTTATTTATTCAATACATTGAGCTCCTTGCAAAATTTTCGAAAGTAAGAAAAAGAAAAAAAACTATCAACAGTCCTGCTAGAATGAATTATTAATATTTTGGTAGATATTGTAACTGACATCTTTATACATCATACAGAGGTTTAAAATTTTATATAAATGTCCTCTTATTATACATTCCCTTTTGTAACTTTTTTCACTCGAAATAAGTTACATTTTCTACATAAGTAGCCCCCATGTAACAATTTTTAATGGCTGTATCATGTTCCTAATCCACTACTGACATAATTTGATGGTGTCCATATTTTTTTTTCTATTAAGAGGCCAATGCTAAAAATTCTATTTATTCTCAAATAAATTTGATTATTTCCTTAAGAAAAAAATCTTACAAGGGGGATGGGGGATGGCTACCATTTTTATATATGTACCTGTTCAACTAGCCTCCAAAAATTGACATCTCAACTAAGTATAACACTTATAAAACACTTCGAACCGTTAACTCATTTACTCTACACGGTATGTATCATCATGCCTATTTTCAGCCCAGGAAATGGAAACACAGGAAAGGTAACTTGAGGGATTTCCCTGGTGGCCCAGTGGCAGACTCCATGCTCAGTTCAGGAGTCCTGGGTTTGATTCTTGGTTGGGGAACTAGTTCCCACATGCCGCAGTTAAGACCTAGCAGAGCCAAATAAATAAATAGATGTTTAAAAACAAGAAAAAAGAAAAGGTAACTTGCTTAAGGCCACATAACTAAAGAGTAACTAGGTACCCAACCCCAAATTTTAACCAAAGGACTGAACCCTGCAGGAGTAAACCCCAGAAGGGCGTTCTACAGACTGTGCAGGGGAATCAGTTTCTTTCTCTTCTGTCAATCGGGAAGAGCAACGAAGAAGGCACTCTCCTCTTCATGCTGTTCCAAGCAGGTTGGAGTCATTACAGTATGTTTTAATGACTGTTTCACTCATTAAACAGTGATTTTTGTTCAATTGTTCATCTCAGGAATGTGGTACGAAGATGGGTATGCCTAATGACACTCAGTATAACATAAATTTCAGCTTTTTTCCCCTCTAGTAATGCTGCTGGACTTTTCTAACTTTCTATAAAGTGGCCTGGATCTCACAAAAGCACCCGCCCCCATATAATGGCTATCAATGGAAATGTCTTGATAAAGGTTCAAGAACTAAATTCTTTAAGAGGCAGTAAGACCTAGTAGGGTTAGAAGGAAATCAAACATGCTACTCCAAAAGCATTAAAAGGTGCACAAAATCCAACAGCAGTAACAGCAGTCAGTAACTAGCCCCTACAAAAACCCTCAGCTCACTTAAAATGATAAGAGTAGGTCAATGTTGATCCATAATGATCTGTTTCTAATATTCACATGGTCATACCACTCACTGATAACAAGCACCAATGGGAAACTGGAACATCCAAGTGTCTAGAAGCTTTGTGAGCAGATGGTTTTGCCATCTGTGGCCTCCCATTATTCCTCAACAATAGTTAAGGATGCTATAAATCTACATGAGTAACCTTTCTGTACCTCACCTGCTAGCAAGAGTACATGATCCCCAAAAAGTCATCTAGAAACCCAGAGCGCGCCCCAAAAGGCTGACTACCTTAAAATAGATGCTTTCAGAGCCTGCCTGAATTCACTTGCAGGCAACTAAACAGAGACTAAGTTCTTCGCTCCTCCTCTATTCTCCCTACAGAATAGGGCAAATATTTCTATCTTGCTTTCTCTCTTTAGGTATATATATACACACAAACTCCTTAATCCCGAGAACAACGCTACGGAGTACAAGCCCAGAGTGGTTAAGTAACTAGCTCCCAGTCACCCAGCTAGTAGATTCGGGGGACTGAGGCTGGGGCCCAAACCTTGCTCTCTGGACGAGCGTGCTCAGGTACCCACTGTTACAGCGCCTTGACTGGGACCAAGAGGGCCAAGGGAAGGAAGGGGATCCTCCATCTCACTACTGAAGTCGCTAAGACATTTACCTTAGTCTGGGTTCGATTTAGTTCTGAAAAGTTCAATCACATCTAAAGCGCTCTTGCATCGTGAAACCCGCTTTAAGAAGGTACTGCTGCCTTTGAAGGAAACTTCTGATAGATTTCAGGACTGGGTTTTGATATTTCAGGTTTTTCACAAGTGGGAATTCCATAAGACAGGTGGTGAGGGCAAGCTGCAGTATGAGGAGCCCGTGACTTCCCCCGAACACTCGAGGCCCAGAACAAGGTCTCCCTTCCAGGTGCCCCCCTCCTCCCAATCCCAATACCCAGCCACGGTCAGGGACGAGCCATAGTCGGTCTCAGGGGGCTCGATCGCAGCTCCCGGCCTTCGCTCACACCCGCCCGCCCCTTCACAAGAACCCGGAGTCCGGCACTCGGCCCCCGGCTCGGGGCTGTCCCCAGCGCCCCAGGTTCGAGCCCAGCCTCGGGGCTCCCTCGCGCATACACTCCACTTCCCACCTCCACCCAGGTGGGATGCGGTCGCCCCCGGCCAAGCGCCCCCTCACTTTCCCGCGCGCCCCACACATCTGCTGGAGGGCCATCGCGGGGGAGGGGAAGCTCCGGTCAAGGACAGTCTCGTCTCGCGGAGCTCCCCCACCGCCCCCGGGGCTGCCTCTGCGGCATCCTCCGCGAGGACCCGGCCCGCGACCCTCCTAGCCAGCGCGGGGCCCGGGCAAGGCCAGGCGCCCTCTTGCTCCCCGGGCCGCGGGCCTCTCAAGCTGTTCCCCTCACCTCAACCCCCAGCCACCCGGACGAGGAGGCCCAAGCCTACCTAGCACCAGGCGAGCCATGCTGAGCGCCCGCGCCGCCACACACTCCAGCGTCGCCTCACTGCCGCACCGCGCCGCACCCCCACCGCCCCTCGTACCGCCCTCGGCTCGCGAGGTAAGCGCGGGGCGGGGCGGCAGGGGCGGGGTGGCAGGGGTGGGCCGGAAGACGCTCGCCAAGCCGTGGCCTCGGCTTATTGGTCCCGGCAGACTTCGCTTATTTGCATAGCCAATGAGAGGCGGCCGGGTAGAGGTTACCGGTTTGGGTTTTGGAGGGGGCGGGGCGATGGGCGGAAGGAGGGACTAGCTGGGGGGCGGGGCAGACCAGCCTGTCCGCCCCGCCCCCCACCCTTGTCCCTCACGTACCCACAGCCCTGCTTTTCCGTACTGGTTCTTTATGGGAGTGAAGTACTTAGTGTTGTCTCTCTCTCTAGGCTCCTTACGGTTCTGTCTTGTTCCCACTCGCTTCTAACCAGTCCCTTTCCTTCCTTCATCCATTGCTTCCCTCCACCCCCCTAATCCTCCACCCGTCACCCTCTTTGTCCCCAGGGAGGAAAAGTTTCTTTGGGCCTTCAACGCTTCTACGACCTTATTAAAAACGACATATTAATTTTTTTCACTCGTTGTGCCTGAACAAGTATTCAGTTATAAAGAAAACACTTGCTAAGCACACACTGTCTAGAACATAATTCAACAAGTATTTATTTTGTTGAATTACTTTAACAGTTCCCACGACGAGGGCACAAGACTGCTAAGTTTTTCACAGACTTGCCCTCAGTTCTCTGTGGAAACCCTGTGGGGGTGAAGCCTCACGACTCCTCATTTGCAGGGTTTACTTCCTCCTCCCGGGAGGGACCCTAGCAATGAGTTTACATGGTCATGTGTTTTGTAAAATTTGCAAAAGTGAAATATTTTAAGCATTACAGGTTAAGATCTCTGCATCTTTCCACTCTGATTTCCTCTCTTATGTTTAGAGCACACTCAAGCATTTTGGTTTTGCATTACTAATGTATTATCACCATGGTTTATTTCTCTGTAATGCTTAGTGCATGAAACAGCTCTGATTTTGGCCAGAGTATTTATGGGATCTGGGAGTAGTGGAGGCTGGTAGGGCTTCCTGGAGGAAGTGGCACTATAGCTGAGCCTGGAAGGAGAAAGTCTGTCAAAGTCCAGAAAGCAAAGGGAGTGATGAGGACACAGGGGTGAACAGACACCGTGAAGAGGAAGCTGGCAGCAAAAGCCAGATGAAGGGGTGGTGCTAGGGGCTGTCTGACATGGTTAGACTTTAAGATCACATGTAGACTGAGCCATGTAGATTCCTGAATTTGGATTCTGTAAGATCTCTTTGGGTTTATTGATGCTTTTTGTAAAATCCAGGATTTGGCATGTTGGGGTAAATTTTAGGGAGAACTCTGAAAACCCAGTGGCTTCTACCATGACGGTTTGTTTCTTACTCTTACTGGGGAGCGGCTCTTCCTGTGGTGATTCAGGGTCTCTGGGTCCTCACGCCCTACAAAGACACTGTCCTCTAAAACATGTGCTTTCAATAAGGGAAATACTGCCCCAGGGGGCAAAATTGGATCTTGGCACAGAATAATTAGAAAATCTTAGATATTACCAGGGCCACAGTACCGAAACAAAAATTTCATGGGAGAGAGGAGATTAGGAGAAGGGACATCTAAAAGTTCTCCTTAGGGGTTATTGTTGTCCAGTAGCTAGGTTATGAGGACTCTTTGTGACCCCATGGACTGCAGCACACCAGAGTGGGTAATGAAGAAAAACCAAGTAAACAAACAGTGCTCTAGAACAGGGCTGTCCAACAGAAATATAACGTCAACTACGACCACACACAAAATTTAAGAAATTTTAGGAGCCATGTTGAAAAGGTAAAAAGCAGAGATTAATTTTAATAATACAGTTTAACCCTAAATATTCTAAATTTTATCATTTTAACATGTAATCATGAAAAAATGATCGATGAGTTATTGACATTTTTTTCATACTAAATATTTGAAACCTAGTGTATATTTTATGTTTGAGCATGCGTGCTCAGTCGCTTCAGTCATGTCCGACTCTTTGCAACCCCGACTGTAGTCCACCAAGCTCCTTTGTCCATGGGATTCTCCAGGCAAGAATACTGGAGTGGGTTACCATGTCCTCCTCAAGGGGATCTTCCCGACTCAGGGGCTGAACTGGCATCTCCTGTGCCTCCTGCATTGCAGGTAGATTCTTTGCGCATTGAACCACCTGGGAAGCCCATATTTTATGCTTACAACACGTCTAAAGTTAGGGTGTCTGGATGATGTGTCAATCCCATGTCAGGAGGTGAGTACTCATGGTGTAGAGCTCAGGAATTAAAAAGAAGAACTATCCTCTCTACACGAAAACTCCCAGTGTACAATGTTGGGACAGGACAGGAGAATCATAATAAATGGTCCCTTTCAGAAAGGAAAGTGGTAGGAGATACAGAGAGGTCCCTGGTTTAGGGCCATTTTGAAATCCTGATGGGTGGACACTGGAAGAAGGCTTTGGTTACAGGTGCAAACAAAGGAAAAATTCACTGTTCAACTCACTCATTCAATCAACAGATATTTACTGAAAATCCCCTTATTTCCAGCACATTGGTAGGTCCTGGGGGTACTAACATAATGAAGAGCTGTTCCTTGCCCAAAGGAGCTCACAGTCGGAAGTGGAAGGCAGATCAATGAAAAGTTACAGTGAAGGTACATACAGAGAGTTCTCTGGGGTCATGATATGAGCCATCGGTCTGCTCTGCTTGAAAGAGTCCGATGTGGAAGAGTGTTCCTGGCATGGCAAGGAGATGTTCCAGGCGAGGTCAGATTCATGACCAAAAGCACAGAAGTGGAGAAGTACGTGGTGCATAGAGAAACCTGATCGGCCCTCCATAGAAGGTCGATTGGGACCAGTGTCGATTGGGACCAGTCTCAACAGTGACACTTTTATCAAAACTATGAGTTTTAAGAACAAAAGATTAAAGCATTTTACATAACTAAATTTCTTGAATTCTAAAACTTTGAGCCGACATTCTGTAGGGCTCTTTAGGTGCTCAGCAGTTATGGATGGAGCTTTCCAGCATTGGGTGGCTGAGATTGGAGACATGAACAAAACTCTTGCTGACCTTGGCTGGAAACCAAGTTGATCAAACACCATCCCTGGGCCATTGTTTCCAGAAAAGACAAAAAGGGCAGCCACCATATCTTTTGAAGTACAGAAGGTTCCTCTTCTTGTTCTGTCCTCAAAGGCTTGATCTCCAACCAGAAAAGAATAAAACAGATGATTTAAGTAGCAAGATAGGACTGTCCAGAAATCCTCATTTTTTAAAATAGAATAATGAGCAGAGTTAGTGACTCAAATTCCCATCATGCTTTATATAGTTAATAATACCTATAATAATAAATAATAGATTATAACTTTGTATGTGTTGCTTCAGAATTTTTTTAAGTGGGGCTGGGGATATTGATGAACAAACTGGACACTTCTTTTTCATTTCATTTTCTATGATTTTCCAGCCCCTGATGCTCAGCTACCGTGATTGCAGCCTGTCTGCCCTTTTCCATCAACCCCAAGTTTCTGCAGCAATCTTTCTACCCTGGAAGGAAAAGAGAGGAAGGCTGTGGGGCTAGATGAGAATATGTACCTCTCATACAGGTTACATTTGCTCAGAAGTGAGTGATACGAAAGCCCCAAGGAAGAAACTGGAATATCATCTCACCTCTTCTTGTTTGACACTCATGTGTGTGTTAGTTGCTCAGTTGTGTCCAACTCTTTGAGACCCAATGGACTGTAGCCCACCAGGCTCTTCTGTCCATGGGATTCTCCAGGCAAGAATACTGGGGTGGGTTGTCATGCCCTTCTCCAGGGGCCTCTGACGTTGTTGTTGTTCAGTTGCTCACTTGTGTCTGACTCTTTGTGACCCTATGGACTGCAGCATGCCAGGCTTCCCTTCTTCACCATCTCCCAGAGTTTGCTCAGACTCATGTCCATTGAGTCGGTAATGCCATCCAGTCATCTCATTCTTTTCTGTCCCCTTCACCTCCTGCCTTCAATCGTTCCCAGCATCAGGGTCTTTACTAATGTGTTGGCTCTTCACATCAGGTGGGCAAAGGATTGGAGCTTCAGCTTCAGTGTCAGCCCTTCCAATGAACAGCCAGGACTGATCTCCTCTAGGATGGACTGGTTTGATCACCTTGTAGTCCAAGGGACTCTTAAGAGTCTTCTCCAACATCACAGTCCAAAAGCATCAATTCTTTGGTACTCAGCCATCTTTATGGTCCAACTCTTACATGTGTATATGACTACTAGAAAAACCATAGCTTTGAATAGACAGACCTTTGTCGGCAAAGTAGAGTCTCTGTTTTTTAATATGCTAGGTTTGTCATAGCTTTTCTTCCAAGGAGCGAGTGTTATTCCATGTCTGGTTCTAACTGTTGCTTCTTGACCGGCATACAGATTTCTCAGGAGCAGGTAATGTGGTCTGGTATTCCCATTGCTTTAAGAATTTTCCAAAAAAAAAAAAAAAAAAGAATTCTCCATCTTGTTGTGATCCACACAGTCAAAGGCTTTAGCATAGTCAATGAAGCAGAAGTAGATGTTCTTCTGGAATTCTCTGCTTTTTCTATAATCCAACAGATGCTGGCAATTTGATCTCTGACTCAACCACACACAGGCTCTTAAATCTTCTGTTTGTAAGTCCTCATATTTGTAGAACCAAAGCAGGACCCATGAGTTTAACTAGTGGGGACTGAATTAGTTTTCTAGGGCCGTCCTAACAAAGTACCATAGGCTGAATGGTTTAAATAACAGGAATTGATTTTCTCACAGTTCTGGAGGCTGGAAGGTCAAGATCAAGATGTGGCAGAATTGGTTTCTCCTGAGGACTCTTTTCTTAGCTTGTAGACGGCCGCCTCCTCTCCGTGTCCTCCAGTGGCCTTTCCTCCATGTGTCTCTCCCTTCCATTAGGCCACCAGTCCTATTGGCTTAGGACCTCATCCTTATGACTTCATTTCATCTTAATTACCTTCTTAGAGGCTCCGTCTCCAAATACAGTCCCATTGGAGCACAGGGCTTCCACCTATGCATTTGAGGGACACAATTCAGTTGGTAACAG